GGATTGAACCCAGTACCTTTGCACTGAGCTACAGATCTAACCCCTTTTTATTCTTTACATTCAGAAACAGGGTCTTACTAAGTCATTAAGTTTCCCAGGCTGGACTTGAACTTGCAGTCCTCCTGCCTCAGCCTCAGTGCTGGCGTTACAGGCACCTGTCACCTTCAGACTGTTTTTACTTCGAATTTTATATTTTTTGACAGAATTTTAAAAATCAATAAAACTAGCAAGGCTTTCTAGAAAAAACCTTTATAATTTATGCAAGATCACACATACGTCAACAGTCCACACTAGTGATTATCACAATTGTGGTATTGTTATTGTTACTATGGGGACTGTGGAGTTGATTGGATGCAGGTTAAAGCCTTCCCAAGCCACAGGCTACATTCAAAAGGGATTGAAAAGGTGCCAGGCATGGTCACACACACACACACACACACACACACACACACACACACACACACACCTGCAACTGCACCAATCCTGGGCTGGGGCAGGAGGACAGCAAGTTCAAGGGGGGGGGGGTGCAAATGGTGCCCAGATTCCTGTAAAGACATAACAAACCTCAGAGAAATGACTGGTCTGAGAAGGAATCAATTTATGACAGGGACATACTTTATAAAAGCTCTCAGAAGGGGCTGAGGGGCAAGCAAAGAAAGAAATTTCTTAAGTAAATATCAAATCAATTAAAGGAACAGATCCATGGAAATAAATCATTTACAGAAACAGGCCCTACCTAGGGCTTCTAACACAAAACACCTTAACTGCTAGGCCTCAACTAACTCAGTGAAAAGATTCTAAAATGATTCAGTGTCCACACAAGGGAGAAAGAGGCAACTTGCTAAAGCAAACCCTGCAAAACAAAGGTTTTCAAGATATAAAAATTCATAAGTTTCTCTTATCAGAAAGGAGGTGAATGAATATTCTGGCATTCTCATGGTGTATTTGCTTTAGCATTTGTCATATAGTTATCCTGTGCAAAGGTAAGGTCTGGTATGCACTGTAATTACTTTCCCACCTACTTCTGTCACGAGGTCTACTTAAAGGGCAATTTCTTTCTTTAGTTCTTTAAATGCTTCCAAAAAGATATCTTAAGGTCAAGAAACGCCAACAATGTGCAAATATCTTTCAGGAGTAGTCATTTTCCCCCTGGTACCATTAGGGGAGATTTTAGTGTAGTCAGTCTAAAGCACGGTAATGGAGGGTCATGTTTCTGTTTACTCAGGGACAGTATTAGTAATCGAAACCAGTAGGAAGCAGGCCTCCCTGCACTGCTACCCAGCATTCTCCAGCAGGCTGCCTTCATTTGCTAGTTTGGATTCCAGAGGATGTCAAAATGCCTTTTCCCATAAAATATCCAAAACATACATATATGGTGTCTGTGTAGACCTCTCTCCAAAATGCTGACACTTTACATGTTGGTAAAGGCTTGATTATAAGAGTTGGATTAATTAATGATGCACCATCTCTATGAGATGTAGTAGCTGAAGATTTGTGTGTGGGTGGGTTCTTTTTTTTTTGGTCCTGGGGATCGAACTCGGGTCCTTGCACTTTCGAGGCAGGTGACGGAACCACTGGGCTAAATCCCCAGCCCCCAAGTGGGTTCTTTGCACATCAGTTATGATGAGCTGGAGTTTGATGATGTTTTGCTCTTCAGCTATCCTCGTGGTAAACAAGGTGCACTTCTATAATCCTAGCACTCTGGGATCCTGAGCCTGGAGAGCTGCAAGTTTGAGGCCACCCTCAAAATTTAGCAACCCAGCCAGAGACACCTTTCCTCAAAAAAAAAGGCAAGGCTGTAGCTCAGTGGAAAAGCCCTAGATTTAATCTTCAGTACCACCACCAAAAAAAAAGTATATATATATATTGCCTCTTGGTAACTGAAGTCCAGTGAACAGATTAATACTTCTTTATCCAAACAAATTAGGCAAATTTTCCCAGTAATATTTGGCTGGTACATTTAACAAATATATACCTGGTGCTTATCATATGCACACTAAGAAAGGCACTAAGGGGACAAATGGGAACAAAACAGTATAGTCCTCAAAAGCAGAGCACAAAAGGGCGTGTCTTTGTTGTGATCCTGGTTGTGGTGGTATTAAAGGAGGAAACTACAACAAATCTAGTTTTGGTCATCTTAATTAGCTTTATTTGCCATTCTAGAAGCAGGCAGCAGTCCAGACCCAAAAAGATTCACAATGCTCCACATCACCACACATGCAGATTATAGTTATAGCCAGAGAACGGAAGTGAGGTACAGGAAACGGAAGTGAGGGGCAGAGGCAGCCCCATTGGTTAAAACTTAACGTCTGTGGTGTGTGAGCCTAATGTGGACAGGTGGCTGCCTTGTAGTGACTGACTGGTGCTGAGCAGCCGTGATTGGCTGAGACTCCACCACGTGATGCCACAGTAAATTCCAATCTGAGCCAGGCACTGTGGCACACTTCTGTTCCCAGCTACAGGGAAGGAAGACCCGAGACAGGAGGGTTGCAAGTTTGAGGTCAGCCTGGGAATTAGCAAAACTGTTTCAAAATACAAAATGAAAAGGGGTTGAGACTGTAACTCAGCGCTCTGTGGGTTCATACTTCAGTACGTCCCCACCTCTAAAAAAAGAGTAGATTATAATCTGCTTACATATCATCTATGGTTACAATTCACTGTGTATGGAGAAACCTATAGAACAAATTAAAAATATGTCCAGAAGCAGCTTTAGGAAGCAGCTTTAGGAAAAGTTTGGGGCCAGCCTGGGCTACACAGAGAGAACCTGTCTCAAAAAAAGAAAGGAAGAGAAAGGGAGAAAAGGAGAAGAGAAGAGAAGAGAAACAGTGTAATCCCAGCACTTTGGGAGACTGAGGCAAGAGGATTGCAATTTGAACCCAACCTAGGCAATTCATAGAACTGTTGGTACTTTTTGACATCTTATAAACCCTTTTTTTTTTGAGACAGGGTCTCACTAAGTTGCTAAATTGTCCAAGCTGAGCTCAAACACATGATCTTCCTGCCTCACCCTTCCAGAATGTGCCACTGCTCCCAGGTTGTTTTGCTGTGTTTTTTAAATAAAGCCTCACTGTATCGCACAGGCTGCCCCCAAATTCAAGATCCTTGGACCTCAGCCTCCAAAGTACTTGGGATTATAGAAGCACTCAACATGCCTGGAATTAAAGCTATCTCATTATACAATATTTAATGAATAAAATACTGTACTATTCATTCTCTGGAGGAAGAGACAGGTAACTAACAAGCAGACTAATAAATACCATATTCACAGATTATGTGATGTGAAGAACATTCTTTTAAAAAGATATGAAATAATAAAGGAGGGCAATCTCTCTTCAGAAGGGCAATCAGAGCGGAACTCTCTAAGCAGGGAACATCAAAACTGAGACCTAAATGTAACAGCCAGCCAGGTTTAGAGAAATGTCTAACAGTGAAGGAACTACCCAGCTGCTTTAAATCACCAGAATGACCTTCAAAATCGTGACTTTATTAAGAGAAAGCCTTGAAGGATAGCCAGATTTCAATGGGATGACTTCAGATTAGATTATTGAGTATTGTAGTCCTAACAAAACAAGAATATAAAAAGAATGCAAAGCTTCTCAGATACAATAATCTTTAGATCCAAGGCATTTAAATATCTAAGAGTTAAAGAAATGCAAAACGCAACCAGGTGATGAAAGCAGGGGGTACTGGACGAACACCTGTGATCCCAGCTACTTGGGAGGCTGAGACAGGAGAGTGGAAAGTTCCGAAATAGACTGGACATTTTAGCAAGCTTCTGTCTGAAAATAAAAAATTTTTAAAGGGTGGGTGAAGTAGCTTACCACTCCCTGGATTCAATTCCCAGCAGAGTGTGTGGGTGGGGGAGGAAGAGAGACAGGAAAGAAAGAGAAAGAAAGAAAGAAGGAAGGAAGGAAAGAAAGAAAGAAAGAGAAAGAGAGAGAGAGAGAGAGAAAGAGGTGGGGAGGGATGGAGGGAAGATGGGTGAGGATTTCAGACATCAGTTGATAGAAGAATTAGGAAATGCATCTCTTGAATCTAGAGTTTAGGTATCGGAAATCACTCCTTAACAAATAAACTTAGTGGGTCCCAGAGTCTCCAAAATTGCATTCAGCCATGTGCAAGGTTGACTGTTGAGAAAAAAAATTTTTTTTGAGATACAATCTTGTCTACTGAGAGTAAATATCTCCCAGCCATGGAAAAATTTCCAATTAAACAGAAAAATGGTTCAGAAAATCCAACCCGTACATTTGTACATTTAAAAATGTGTTTGTAATGTGAAAGAAAATTTGACCTATTGAAGTAAAAGAACAACTTTGTAAATTTCAAATGTATAATTAAAATGTACAATTTTAAATGCATAAGGTATTTAGACCAATTGAAATCTAATTTTATACATAATACTACTAAATATTTAAAGGTGTCCATACTTACGTTCTATGTATTAGATTTAGAAGAGTTATCTAAGAACTTAGGAAGAATTTTCTTAAGTATTTTAACTGCAGCATTTAAAAGGAATATCACATATATTTAATATATAAAAGCTGTTTAAATATTTAAGGGTATTATTTTAGCAAACATGATTTAAATTCCAAAAAAAGTGATGTTAAAATTTGCTAGGCTACTAGATGTGATAAAGATTTAGAAGCTAAATTTAAAAGCTTAAAGAAAAGCCAGTATTGATAATTTATAACTCAGGTATGTGATTTATAGATTTAATGTTAAATATTAAATTCCATATATCTAAAATAAACTCTGAATAATCTTTTCTCTACATAAAACCACTATCCAAAACAATTGCTCATATTTATAGCTTTAGCCCCAAGCTACAGAAAAGACTCCCACTGAGGGACAGTCCCAGGAAGCCTGGCCGTCTACAACAGTGGGACCAACCTTCAACTGTGTATCAAAGGAAATGATTTGTCCTAAGGTCATTTGCAGAGCTAAAATACCAAATTTGAGGTGTTGTCTTTTAAAACAAACAAACAAAAAACTCCCCTTACCAGGGTCCCCTCGAGGTCATCATAATTTCTCCCAAGCGGGTGTGTGGATACGGTACACTTGTGCTTTACTTTTTACACTTGTGACATCACCGTGAAAGCTTCTGTTACATTATCTTTCCTCCCACCAAACCATGAGATTCCACATTGGGAATGTAATCATTGTGTGTTCTAGTTACTATAGCAATCTGAGATTGTTTGCTTGTTTATTTTTTCGTTTGTTCATTTTGCAGTTCTGAGGGTAGAACCCAGGGCCTCGCACCTGCTAGGCAAGCACTCTACCACTGAGTTGTACTTCTAGCCCAGCATTTTAAACTGAATTAAACAAAACAAAAACCTCTGCGTATCTCTCTCTAGGACCTGGGATCAACTCTATGATTTTCTTCCCACTTGTCTCTTCAAAAACACAGACACCAACCCAACTGGCTTCTCACCTTAGCTTCCTAGATTCACCCAGTCCTATTTGGGTCTCTGACCTGATTTTACATTGTTTATACTGGCCCTGACCTGGCACTCACTGCCTTAGGGCACAGTTTCTGGCATTATCCCACTGACTCCACCCACCTCAGCTGCAAGACCAAGTCTGTCAAGGAAGAGCATCAGACAGCAGAGCTTGGAAGACTGTCTGGAAATACTACTGGCTTAGTAGGTGTTTACAGACTAAAGTCACTCAATTATCTATCATTTCCTAAGTATCTTCCATATTCAAGAGACTCTGCTGAGAATGAAAATTTTTTAAAATAGCAAGATGAGATCCGTACGGTCCAGAGCACCAGGAGCGATAGAAGTGCTCTTACAGAGGTATCTATGAAATGTCCAAGGATCATTGAAGAACACATCCTAAATTGAAAGAGAGAGTGAGACAGGAAAGAATCCTCATGGTTGCGGCCCCAAGTTAAATTTTAGTGGCTAGATCAACACGTTTTTGAGCTTGCTTCAATGTTAGGAAGGAAGCATGATCTACAGTGACTTAAAGACTCATATTTGATGACGCTGTTTAGCAAGACTGGGAATACAAAAAGATATGCTGGTCCTTTGGCTGTGTTTGTGAATTCGGTTTGAGGTATAACTGTTCGAATGTGGCATGTACATGGGATTATCAAGTGAAGATATTAATACATGACCGGAAAAAAGAGCTCAATTTTTACAAATTCCATAGACTGGAGTTTTATCTTCAGGAGTCATCCACATACATACAGCCTTAAGAGTGAAAGAGTCGCCCTGGATCACAGGAACAGTGGGGAGAGAAGAAAACAAGTGCGGTATCGTGAGGCCCATCCACACCAAAGGGCTGAGAAGAGGAAGAGGCTTCGAAGCTGGGAGGGGACCAAGAGGAGCACCCAGAGATGAGTGGGGGCAGGAGAATGTGGTGGTGGCCCTGTTGGCTCCTGTATCGATTCCTACTCTCCTTCTTCACAAAATGCCTTCCCTGTGGAGTTATGGGCCTCTCGGAAGTCACTAGTCCCAAGACCTGGCTTGATTTGTGTATGGATAGTTCCACTTCCTTTGCTGGGGACTGCAAGGAGCAAGTGACCCAGTAGAGTCAAGAAAGGTTCGATGGGCGCCATTAGTCTCTAAGCAGAACTCGTAGAAATGATACTTCACATGGCACCTGGATAAATATGAAGCCTGGACTTGCTGCCATGCTCTCTTCCTGCCAATCTGAGAAGGGGGCCAACTGAAGGAAGAAAGCCAAGCCAGGAGAATCACAGTGGGAGCCAGCTCCAGATTTCCATGTGTGCGGCCTCTGAAGTTCTTGCTGCTTCGCCAGTGTGGGTTGAGTTCTCTGTTACTTTCGCCCCAAGCAGAGCTAACTGAAGCCACAGGAGGTGAGCACTTCAATAGGAAGCGATGAAGAGTGGTGAGTGGTGACAGGAAGCCAGGTGATGAAGGGCCTGAAGTGCATCCAAAGACTCTGAGAACCAGGGGCCTGGAAGGAGCCATTTCCGGTGATGGTGCAGTGGGCCACGGTCCCCACTGCCGTGGGAGAAGGGATGGGAAGTGAGCACCTAGAGCCGGTGAAGTCCTCTTCAGGAAGGGTTCCTGCAATGTGAGGACTTAGAAGAGGCCATGGCTATGTAAGAGAATAAAGTGTTGGGGAAAGGTTTCTTTCCTTTTGCTTATTTTGAAGATGAGGACTAGTCAACCCGAGTTTCTTGCCGTTACCACTCTGTGGCCATCCCCTAAGTTTGTGGGGAATTTCAATGGAGAGAGGAGTTCAATAGTCCCATGACTCTAATAACTTATCCTGGATTCAGCTATAAAACTGTAGAAAAGCAGGAACTAAACTTGCATAGTGTATCACATTCTTTCTGAACAGGTAAGAAGGAAAAATCACAACATCGATTGTTTTAAATGTCTTTATTTCATGTTCTTCAAGCCAAATGGGTACAATTTGAGTGCTGTCCTTTAGAACATTTTAAAATCGATTGGTGAATATATGTAAAACTGTTGGCATTAAGTTGAGTTTATCTAAAGTAACTCCATACTCACCACCTGGTTAAACTTGGCATTGCGTATTTTCGGCTGTTCAGATGAAGCTGGCTGCTGTTTCCAATCGAGTCCCACCTGAACACATTAGCCTGTGTGACATACACATGGTGGGGAGGGCTGGTCCCGAAATGAATCTTTTTTTTTTTTGTACCAGAGATCAAACTCAGGACCTTGCACTTGCCAGGCAGGCGCAGTGCCACTGAACTAAATCCCCTGCCCACTGAACTAAATCCCCTGCCCACCGAAATGAATCTTTTTGGTGGGAGGAACAATTCTGCCAAATTCGCCAATCACCCATTCACCTGGGAACCAAAAAAAAGAGTAAACCACAGCAGTGCCAAACTCCACGATATCTTAGTCAAAAGATGGGTTCACTAAGCAGACAACCATCACATGCCTAAAGCGAGACCCTGAGAATCCAGAGCTGAGTAAAAGAATTGGTCCACCTTCCACATAAACACACAACCATTTCACAGACAGATTGCCAAGAAACATTCTATTTTCAGGTAATTAAACAATAGCCTTTTCCTATCTAACAGATTATCTTTTAAAAACATGTAATTAAATTAGCCCAGCAGTGACCTTTAGCCATAGGCTGATTACTAAATGATCAACCCTTGCACATTGATTAGTTATCAGTTTTTAATTACAAAGGTCAATTTTTATGTTCTTTCCAGGAAGTGAATTTAACAAGATGTCAGTTGTCTCCTTCTCAGTCTCATGGAGAGAAACTTCCCTAGTACCTGAAGCAGTAATTTAAGCCTAAATCATTCTGATTCTGGGACAGAGTAACAGGTACATCTGATGTAGCCCTAAATTTGGAAATCCAAATAGACTCCAACTTAAAATGAGTTGATTTATCTTTTTTTTTTTCATTCTACAAAAAAAGAAAAAGCAATCTACATTTAATGGAAACCATACTTTGAATTTTGATCTTTTCCTTAACTGGCAATATGAGATGATAAATATTCTCACAATGCCCAGCTGTAAGTTAATATAAGTGTTATGAACATGTTTAAAGTAGGCTAGGCTAGGCTAAGCTATTATCTTTGGTAAGTAGGGTGTATTAAGCACTTTTTTCCCCAGAATTGGAGATTTTACCTGGAGCACTTTACCATTAAGCTATATTCCCAGCCCATTTTATTTTATTTTATTTTATTTTTTGGTACTGGGGTTCAAACTCAGGATGTTGCACTTTTGAGGCAGGCTCAGTGCCACTGAGCTAAATCCCTAACCCCCATTTAATTTTTTAATTTGAGACAGGGTCTTGTTAAATTGCCCAGGCTGGACTTAAATTGCAATCTTCCTACCTCAGCCTTCCAAGAAGCTAAGACTACAGGCATGTGCCAATTCCCAGCTTTTAAATGGAATTTTTTTTTTTTTTTTTTTGAGACAGGGTCTCACTATGTAGTTCAGGCTGTCATTGAGCTCACTATGTAGCCCAGACTGGCCTCAAACTTGTGGTGAGCCTCCTGCCTCAGCCTCCCAAGTGCTGGGATTACAAGTGTGCACCACCACACCCAGCTCTTAAATGAATTTTTGACTTACCATATTTTCAACCTACAGTGGGTTTATTGGGACATAACTACTGTTTGTCAAGGAGTATTTGTATCTTTTAATTACTAAAAAAAAACAGCTAAGAGAATGAAAGCCAGGGTAAAATTAGTTTATGGTACAAATCAAGCCTTTGAATAACATCTTAGTCAAAACAAGGCATAGAATAAATAAATAAATGTATAAATAAGACATAAAGTCAAGCATTGGCTCAGGTAAAGCAAGGGTGGGTGATTATATGGTCAGGGGGCCCTGCACCTTCTATGCTGAATTTGATTGTTTGTTTTGGTTTTTTTTTTTTTTTTGATACCAGAGATCGAACTCAGGTCCTTGTGCTTGTGCAGCAGGTGGTGAAACCATTGAGCTAAATCCCCAGCCCTATTATGCTGAATTTGAGTATTTCCTGTGCTCCTAAGGCCCACCTTGCTATCTAGACCTTGCAAAACTGATTGTACTACTAACGGAGCCTCTGTTCCCCAGAACCTAAGACCTCTGACCCTAGTCTAGGACCCAGGAAAACTGAGTAGTGTGAAAGGGGACAGGAAGGGGACAAGGGAGGCTGTGGAACCAGCAGAATAATACTACTAATAATAAGGCAGAAAACTCAGAAGATGTAAAGCAAGTAATTTTGGTTTCAAATGATCTACAGTTATTGCACAAAAGAATTCAAAGAACAATTTTCAACAGAAAAATACCTAGTCTGTAGTCACATAGCAGTAAACAAGGCAGGTGAGACCTCTGTCCTCTAGGAGTTTCTAAATTTTTTAAATTGAGAGATTTTTTTTTTTTAACTCTTTTCCCTTAATGCCAGATAACTTTTCTTTTCTTTCTCTTTTTTTTTTTTGGTACTGGGTATCGAACTCAGGTCCTTGCACTTTTGAGGCAGGTGGTGGAACCACTGAGCTAAATCCTGGGCCCCCAGATAGCTTTTATTTTCAATGTTTGTAGCTATTTTCACAAAGAAATGAACAAGTCTTGGAGCAGGGCCTGGTGGTGCACACCTGTGATCCCAGCACTTGGGATGA